CGGTTCGCGGTAATTTTGGATAGTTGTGGACTATCTTATCAACCTTATTGCCAATTTTCTTTGCTTTCCTCTTGAACGCTTGCCAAGGGTTTAAAGCAGACATTTTTGAAGAGGGGATTCGCGATATTATTATTCCTTGCATATTAATTAATGTGAAGTTTATGCAAAGGCGGAGTTTCGTATAAATTTTGTAAAAGCGTAAAATTTACGTCATGCAGATCAGGAATAGGAAAGGAAATCGTCCATTGTAACTGCATTTCATTGATTGAAAGTACAACTAATTAATTAGCTTGCAAAATTTATTGTGACTTGCATAGTAAATACTGCGATAGAGAAAACCATTTTTAATATGTTTTACGAATAGTTTTGATGAGTGTAGAATAAATAATCGCGACGTCCTTTAGATCTAATCCCAAAGCAGGAAATACGAAATTACAAACTTCTTTCGCCAGATTCGTTAAAACCTACGAATCCTTTTCCAATATCGAGATAATAATAAATAATTTTTAATATTTGACGGTATATTTGTATATCATAGCAGATGCACTAATAATACAGCTATATATGTTGGGAGTATTTACTTAGTAGCATCAGGTGATATAAAGCGATTTTGGAAAATTGTAGGCAAATTTGCCGACAATACAGTTTAAGGGATAATTTTAGTAATATTATGCAAATCTATCAGAAACAGGTGTAATGCATTGGATGTTTGAATTTTGAAATTTTATAAGTGATGAGGATTGAAATTTTCACGAATTAGAGGGGCTGGGATATAATTTACTTATTTTCCCTCTGAAGGATTATAATTAATAGACGCAATTATGACTGCTTTTTGTAAGCCAATTTGGTTTAATGTGCAGACTCTTATTCGAAAAAGATTAGAACGTTCGCAGAGAGAGGGGATGACGCAACCAGCTCTGCCTTTATAAAGTTTCCCACAAAAACCGCTGTAGTAATTAAGCGGGCAAAACACACGTTATTATTCGCCCGTGTTTTGCTGTTAAAAATTGATGATGACATGGGTCGTAATGCTTAACAAAGTACGTTATACTTTAATCCCAAATCGGCCGAGGTAGACCTTCCACGGAAAGCACATTGCATCACGAACATTGACCACATACATTTAACATATTCTTTACCGATCATTTCGTTGGCCAGACTAGCTTATTATCCATTTATTTAACTGTTGGTATCCCTTTTCATTAAACTAGACATTAACAACCACTGATTGTAAAGTATCTGAATAGAACTCCTCATTTACACCGTTACGCAAAACAAAAACGACAACATTATAACTACGATTGTTTACAAGACCCTTAGGGATTGTGACAGTTACTTTGCTGGGTAAAACTGGAACATTTGTCGCTGGAGGCGAAAAATCGACAGGAATGCTTCCGAATTCACCAAGCACGAATAGATTAAAAGTAAGATTTTTGTATAATTTGAACGCTGTACATTTTTTAAAACAAAATTAAAATAAAAGTTTAGTGCACTGCTTGATACTTACGGTCTTTTCATTTAACCTTGAGCTTATCACCACACTAAGTAATAAAAAATACGTGTCTATTAATATTCGATTGGATAATTAGTCGTATGAAAAATTTAGTTTAAAATTTCTCGCACATGAAACTTATCATCCGCGTCTGGTTTTGTAATAATTAGCCCGGATTTAGGATTATCGATAAAAAAAGACCCTGAACTAGCCACAAATTGACCATTGCGGCTGAAGAGAACGCGATAACGAGAGTCGGGGGCAAGCGTTCTATTGAGAGTGAATTTGAACTTGTAACACTTTTTTGCTGTTAATTTTCAGAAAATTAAATAAGAAATTAGCTATTATTCATAATTAATGCTAATGACAATAATAGTAGTAATTGTAATGTTACTCTGGCCTTAATCTAACATTTGTTGCAAATGTCTGGGCGAAAATTACTGCATCGAGTACGAGATCGATACTTTCGATTGAAGTAATATTGCGAGCGGGGCAGAACTTAATGGCAATGTGCCGACCAGCTCGAAAACGGTCTCCCCTTGCTTTTAACAAGTATTAATATTTAGTATGGGTTTCAATTATTTAGGATGGGGAAAATTTAGCAAAAGTAACCGGTTTAAAAAATAAATATTAGTCATTCCAGGTAAATGTCTCTATATAAGGAAAGGATTTTTATACCTGGTTTGATTACCGTAATGCCGGGAACGTTTTTAAGAAAATGAGAGCGAACAGAGGCACCAAACATAAAAATAAGCAAAAATATCAAATATACAATTCGGTTCATTTTAACGATTGTGGGTGGAAAAAGATTGAAATACGGCAGGTTAAATATCTTTTCTTTTCCGAATCTCCTAATGCAAGATTTGTCACACAATATTTCATGCAAGTTTATTTTAACTCTTGCATCTGTGAAATTAATGTAACGGCCCAAATTTCAGGAATGGTTCTTCAATATGATTGTGAGGATATTGTTCTATACTGGTTTCTCTTATACCGATTCGTCAAGTGACCAATATAATAATAAGAGGTTTCGCCGTACGTTTATTGTTTAATTTAAGGTTTGGTCAGTTTGATAAGCATTCGTTCAAGTCAGAATTGTGATATACGCTTTTGTCCGGGAACTTTGTGAAAAAGGAGGCTTTTTCCTTGGCCTAGCGACCAAACACCACTCTATTTAGAAATGATATCATATCATTTTCATCTCCATCCATTGCTACCGAATGACAACAATCAATATCTGACAGAAAACGAGATTTGGATCTTAGGAATGTATGGGCATATTAATATATGTGGACGAAAAGCGCCATTGGATGTTATGGGCCCTTCCCAACAAATTCTGAAAGAATAAGTCTGTTTAATATTAAAACCACTTTGTTAATCGAAGCACATTGGAAAGTAATAAAGAGAGTCTTTTTGCCAAAATTTTTCCGCCCCCGACTTGATTTGGTTGTATACGTTATTATAACGCGGCTTTCACCACATCACCAACGACGACATTATCAATGGACATCCAGACGGGAGATGGAGGCATGGCGAAAGGATTTTAAAAAGAGTGGAAAAATCTCTCAAACCGTGACAGCACTACAGCAAATCTAAGATCAAATGCAAGCTATTTTACTTTTGTCGTTCGTCAAGAAGTTTATCCATTTTTGAGACATCCAAGTTTACAAACTGAGAATGATTTGAGTTTTGAAATTAGAAACGGTAGAGGCAAGTAATTATCTTTGTTTAATTTTATGTTATATATTATTCAACATTGACATATTAATATGTATACTATTGTAGAATCTACTTCCGCATACAATTCGGAAGCATTAACATGGAGAGATCACAACCGAAATACAAGATATTATCATCGTTAATATTAGTTGAAGTAATAAATAAATTCATCGTTCATTATAATTACTATAATCGATATCGACTTGTATAATCGACTTGTGCTGTAACAACTGCTCAGTGAGGATGTTGATCCTAATTAGGGAGTAAACTTTGTCCATATTACACGTATTAACAGAACCCAAGTCCAACTGATTCTCTCCCCTTGTGTCACCCCTCGTTTTCGTTTATTTCTGGTGTTGGGGGATGACGTCTCGGTAACACCAGCCATATCGATAGTAGCGGTCGTAGTAGATGAGGAATTGATGGTGGTGGTGGTGGTGGTGGTAGTGGTGTTAACAGCCATATATCATCACTCTCTATGTTATAGTAATAATATACTTATAGTCTGAATACCTTCTCCAGATCCTGCAACGAGTATATCCGTCTCCTTCGTTCATAATCAACTTCTTTTCCTAGTTCCTGAAACATCTTCATTAGAAAGTTACAATCTTCGTCTTCCTTTTGTATACTGTGTTGTCTCCAGAGTTCATAATCAATCATGCGCGGCGTTGTTGTCGGAGAGTGATGTCGGAGGGGAGGGAGAGGTCTGAGGGAGAATATATTGATTTTTATGAGTAGGCACCCATTTGCGGCGTCAAGGTCACCAGACAGAAACACTCTCGACCCACGACGCAGTTTTTTTGTTCCCGTATATATGTGCGTCCGGCAATTGTGTATAAGCGTGTTTAGTTATTAAGGAATGGGAAAAAACTTATTTTTAGTGTATTGTCAGTGTTTGCAACGACATCGCCTTTTCGGAAGCGATCGATTGATGTGAAGTCGTTGTTGTGTAGGGGGTATGTATGCTTCGATGGTGATGTGATGTTAGCTTCTGTGTTGTCGGAGTTAAAGAACACGTCCTCAGACGGTCGCGTGTATGTTCTTGATTATGGGGGCGGTGATGAGAAAATGGAGGAATATGCTTGCTGTGGAGGAGTGTATGTGAGTATTCTGTTAATGATGTGCGCGCTAACAGAGTACGTAGAGTTTTATAAAGTTTTATAGCCGAGGCGTCATGCATGTGAGGCGCTTATGTGTTGGGGTTGCTGATTCTGTTGGGTGTGCTGCATTGAGAATCGAAAACATCTGAGGCAGCAGCGATCGAAATCTTCATCACCAGACTCTGCCCAAATTCCATATTGTCTTATAGCTTTTTTTTGTCGTCATTATGTTGTGTCCAAGTTCGTGGCATGACACAACGCTATAGCCTTTACCAGGCCTGAGATGTAAATGTCTACCCTGCTGCTCGTAGCACTCGGAACAAATGTAACGTGCATTATACGCTGACAGCTGACAATGTGTTTTGTACAATAGACCTCAAAAAGCGCCTTACACATTATGTTGCCAAGGCAAGGTATTTGGATGTTGCGACTATTGATTTTCCATGAGTATTTTCTACAGTATCCTCCACGGCTGGAAAAGCATTTTAACTTTTTACAGAAAAGGCAGATACGGTGATGAATGTAACTGTTTTCAGAATCAACTAATGCCTTTTCGCGTGGATGCAGATCTTTATTATCAAACTCCAGTATATGGTCAGGGTTTCTGTCTTTGATTGCATTTTCATCTATTTCCCATGTCCCGATCAATTGCTTTAACGATCGTAATTCATACGTATTGTTGCAACGTCTCATTTTTTTTTGTCCTTAACCAGAAGCACGCATGGGGTAAGAATTGCTAATCTTCTTTTCTTATTGTTATTTATATCTCCTTCATCCAGCATCAACGGAGAGTCTATGTCCATGCTATCGTTGGCTTCTTCATTTTCGTCTGAATCGTCAAAGGTTATGTCGGCTTCTTCATTTTCGTTTGGCACCGACTCGTCTAAATCGTCAAAGGGTACGTCACTCCAGTCTATATTTATTTCAACATCGTCCTCATTATCATTTGGCGTTATTGAAGAAAAATCGTCCAAGACAATTTCTTTCCAAATATCCATTTCTTGGTCTGCACCATCCGTTGCATCGTAAAGATAACGTCTCGAAATCCATGTGCGCATTGTATGGTGTCTTTTTGATAAAGGTTGGGTTACGAAATTTGTCTAATGGTAGTGAGGCAAGCTTTAATATTTGCTTTGTAGTATTAGTTTGCTACTATTGCTGCTTCTGACGACGAGGCGTTTTACGCTCGGTCAGTTTATACGAAATGAAAATAAAAACGCGTTTCGTGATCGGGTTAATGATGTCATCAAACATTGGGGGGTTAGATATCGGTAGTGTCTCGATAAGTCAGTTTCACGTGACAATTTGTAAAACGTATTACAGTTTCTTCATGTCCGCACGATGATTAATTGTCCAAATAACGTAACTGATGATGTAATTTATCGATGTTGGCAAGAACTGACATTATCCCTGAAGAACATTAAACAGAAGATATGTCGATCGAAAACAATGAAACAATTGTACAATCACTTCTCAACTCAAATGGATGTGACAGATTTGACAGCAAACGACTATATTCAAGCTTGGAAGCAACTCAAGTAATTAATGACAATGAAATTCTTGATGTACTTCAGGATACAATTGAAAATGAAGAAGCGGAAGGAGACAAATGTCCACCGGTTTCACGTAAAATTGCTTTAGAAAGTATCCAAAATTTACTGAACTACTTACAGCAATCGAATAATGTGAGTGTAAACAGTTCTGTGTTGTTAGGAATGAAAGATTTACAACGTCGGATAAGAAGGAAACAAGTCGATTCTCTAAGACAAGCTAGTCTGCAAGATTATTTTACAATGTAATTATATTAAACGTTAATTAATAATAACTAGTGTATAACCCGTCACTTCGTTGACAGTGTGGTGTGGTTATTTTATGTTTTACATTAATACTTTTATTTCGCTAACGTTATCCATAAAAATATAATGAACATTTGATGGTCATCTATTGGATAATTTTGTAACACGAATATGCAATGTCCGCAGCCTCCAGTTTTTTTAAGTTTAAATGTATATCATCGATTACGTGTTTTTCGATAAGTCGGCCATTTGAGGTGGGCTACCGTTGGCCGACTTATCGAGACTGACTATGTACACTAGATCAAATCCTTATACAGTCAAAGCTGGCTAATAACGAACTTTTGTTATAACGAAGATCTGTTTATAACGAAGATTTCCAATCATTTTCGAGTATTCTGGCTGGCTATAGCGAATTTCATTAAGAAATCTGGTTATAATGCTTATAACGAAGAT